AAAACCGGCTAAATCTAGCCGGAAAACGGCTAAAATGGCAACGCTGGACAGCACGCGAAGGCACACAAACACACTCTCACTTTTAGCTCACGCTTGTTTGTTGTTGTCTTCACGCCCGTATGTGACACAGTGTTGGGAAATAAGATTGTTCCTATAGTACGAAATCTATACAAAAACTGTATTTTCGACTGTAAATTGTATCGACTTTTGAATTTGCTCATACATTTTCTTAGTACATGCAAACATACATACATACCCTTCAAGACAAATGATTGATGGTATTCATAGGAAAGTTTATGTATGTAGGTACATTTACATATTTACACTTTTAACATAAATGTGTATGCACATATTTTGAGGTACACTTCTTAACAAACACATTTTTTAAAATTATTATGAATGGATAATAGAGACATCTTCTTTAAATTTAGTACTAAAACTTGACATTTGAATAGTATTTCAAGTGCTTGTCAAAACTTTACGACACGCACATATTGACAGGATTGGCCATTTATCTTAAAATTATTTAATTTTAAATATTTGTTTATAAAAATGCAGTTTATACTGTGGCAAAACCCGTATAAATGCAAGGTTCAATCTTTGCGCAATATCAACAAACTTATACATATTTTGAGTATGCAGTTTTGTAGCCCATTCAATTTAAATAAAGTGCAAGTTTAAGATAGCTGCGACTTATCGTTGATTTTTAATATTTTTTTTGATGGTGTTGCTCATTTTCTTCATTAACAAAAATAGTCGAACATACTAAGATAATATGGAAGCAAATGACCGACATGTTCAAAAAAATGCCAAACATATAACGAGCTATATATTTTTAGTATTCGTCACAAAATTGTACTAAAATGTACTGCGTAGTAGGAAAGTATATTGTAAACGAAATTGTATCAAAAAAGTACGATTGTACCAAAAATTCCTACACTGATGTGGCACAACGCAAAACACAAATAATATTAAACTCAATCAAATTATTTTCAACCTCTCACTCGAACAAATGAGTAAAATCCAGATGGTAGACTATAATCAATAGAGTCAAAAATTGCCGGCAATAATAAGAGTAAGTATATTTTGAGTGTATTCTTGTTTTGGTGGATATTACTCTTATTCATTTTTGGAATTAGTGTAAGTACTCAATTGCACTAATTGTTATGGATCATGAATAAGATAAGTACACTAATTTTATTAGTACTCCAATTCGGTCTCTGATAGGCAGGTCTAATATTCTATTCAATGGGGAGTAGGATTTTCAACATCGATTTTTCCGATATCGATATTGTTCAGCCCGATATATCGTCATATCGATTTTACAAGCAATGAATTAAATCGATTCATGATATCGACACTTTCTTAAATATCGAACATTCCTAGTTTACATATGTACCTAGTTGCAGCTGAAGCATTAGGCTTTCTGCACATTGGTCGTCCAATCATTGCTTCATCGTCACAATCATGATGCAACGATTACATGACGACCACTTTCGCACACTCGGTCGTGATATTTCAATTCGTTTGGCGTCTAAAAATTCACTTGGAGCCGGTATTTCTGTTTTTCTGGTTGATATTTTCGCGAAATATTTACAAAAACCTGCAAATTTTAAAATATGGACTGTGCTGCAACAATTGTAGACATAATTTTTTAGTAACATCTCTTTTCTTTTCCTGAAATGATTTTTGTGCACGTACACAGAGACTTTTTACAATTTCGTCATATTTTATAGTTAAAACGCTCGCATTTATTGAATTTTATTGCAAATATTAACCTTTTCACTAATTTTTCCCCATAAAATGTAAGTAAACAATGCGTGCACAACGATTAGCAAACGACAGTGTCGTACTTATCCGTTTCTGCATCTTCTACGATTTGCCGATAACGACAAGTGTGCAGATCTTCTTTGAAATGCGGGTGCTCGGCTCAAAATTTCCTGGCGAGACGATTACGCAACTATGATTGGACGACAAGTGTGCAGATAGCCTTATACTGCACTTTAAACATACATATCAACATATTAGGGATGTTTCGAATGTAATATTTTGCATATTCGCGTATGCAAATGCGAATGTTAGGAATAACATTAAAAAAGCTATAACCAACTTAAGTCATCGTTTTTATTACTTAAAAATTTTGTAAATTATTAGAACATTGAACGAGTCCTTAACCTATACAATGTTTTAATCTAGTAGTTAAAGTTCAAAAGGGGCATATTATGGGTGAAATCCTACATGTAAACCTGCAAACCATCAAGTCATCTCTTTTATTTCTGAACCTCCGAATATTGTATTGCCAAATGTGCGCAACCACGGTTAGATGATGGGTTGCAACTAGGTTGCGCAAGTTAGACTTTTTCGAGCGCGGTTTACAAATAAAAGAGACTGATGCTTTGTATTTTTACATTTAGGATTTCATCCTATATTTCAAAAGAAGTAATTTTGCTGTATTTTCTCCCACGAGGCGATTTCATAAATGCTTGTATATAAGGCCGGCTGTACTGAACAATTGCTCACTTGGAACGCTGGCGGGTGGAGCGCTCAAATATTTTCATGCCAGATCTGTCAATTTGTCGTATTTTAGTTTAGTTTTCCACCAACCAGTTTTAACGGACGTTTCATTCAGTGCGGTCTCACAATGGCAGGGAAAAAATTTACGTTGCTTACAATAAAGCAAAAAGCTGAAATTTTAAGGAAGCTAAGTGAAGGATTTTCTATCGATGCCTTAGCCAAAAGTTTTCACGTGCACAGGTCAACAATAAACCGCATTAAGAATAAGAAGAACACCATATGGAAGTTCCTGGCGCATGCTGAATCTGGTCCTGGGAAGAGAAAAACGTTTAAACCTGCAGAGCTTCCTAAAATGGAAAGAGCATTGATGAAATGGTTTGCAAATCAACGAGCCAAGAATTTACCAATCACTTCTGATATGCTTAAACAAAAAGCCAAGTTTCTCCATGCCAAAATTCAGGAAAAATCGGGGGACTTCCATGCTAGCAATGGTTGGATTACAAACTTTAAAGAAAGATATGGAATACGAAGACTCAAAATATGTGGAGAAAAACTTTCGAATAAGACTCATTCAGTTAATCCATTTTTACAAAAACTGAACAAAAAAATTGCTGATTTAGGTTTGACCAAGGACCAGATATACAATGCCGATGAATCTGGTCTCTTTTGGAAGCTTTTGCCGGATAGAACTCTTGTGCGGTCAAAAGAAACTTCCGCTCCAGGACATAAAATCAGTAAGGAAAGAATAACTATTCTGGCTTGCACGAATGCATCTGGAAATCACAGAGTAAAACTAATGGTTATTGGGAAATCATTAAACCCACGATCACTTAACAATTTTACGGATATTCCAGTTGTCTACAAAGGAAATAAAAGTGCTTGGATGACCTTGGCTTTGTTTGAGGAATGGTTTCACAAAACATTTGTTCCAGAGGTACATCTGGTCATCTTTGTTTGTAAAAAATTTCGTTTATTAATTTAAATTTCCTAAAATTGCAGGTAAAAGGGTTCCTTCGTGCCGAAAATCTTCCCGAAAAGGCTCTATTGCTTATTGATAATGCTCCATGCCATCCCAAAGACGGCGAGTTAATGAGTAGTGATGGTCAAATATCTGTAATGTGTCTTCCTCCAAACTGTACTGCACTTATACAGCCCATGGACCAGAATGTTATAAGACTTACGAAATTGAACTACAAAACAAGCCTTTTAAGTGACATCGTTCGCCGTGGAAAAACAATAGACGAATCTCTGCGAAACATCAACTTAAAACACGCAATATGCTTTTTAGCTAATGCCTGGAATGCTGTTAATGTGACCTCCATTCAGTCATCATTTCAAAAACTGTTTGAGGTAACATCCGAATGGGATAGTGAAGATGTCATCCCTCTTTCAGAGTTACGCTTACAGCTTGTTGAAGATACATCCAATATTCAAGCAATTTCAAATTTGCTTCAAGAAATAGAACCATTGCAGCAAATATCCGATTCTGAAATTGAGCAATGGATTGCTGAACCTATTTTGGAGTCTTTTGAACAAAATGAAGATCCCTGTATCAATTGTGACCTTACTGATGGTGAAGAAACAAACCACGTGGTAGTAAATACGAAGAAAGGTACACAGGAGGAGACTATATCAGCATACAATATTTGCTTAGAATGTGCTGATCAAAATAAGGCGATATTATGACGCTCCAGAGACTTAGAAGCAGCGTAGTACTGAACAAGCGAGCTTGCACAAAACAAACAAAAATTTCAAATTTTTTTAGTTCCACATAAAGTATGTGAGTCTTTCTATATTTATGTATATGAACGAATTAAACTTAAGCGTATTGAATTAAAATACATATTAAAAATAATAAACTTATTTTCCAACCAAATTCTTTCATAAATTTGCCTTTTATTTCATACAAAAAAAATACTCGCTACTTGCGACAACCTCAATTCTTGCACCGAGCCCTGTTTTCATTATGTGCAAGAATCGAGGTACTACTGTACTTCTATTTCACAGCAAAGCAACACTTTTTCCAAGTAAATTTGCAAAGAAGCAACACGGTGCCACTGCTAAGGGAGTGGTGCGAGAGAGACAACTGTCAGTTTATCGAACCTTGTATTATTGAATCATGGTATGTATGTAGGTACATTAGGGCGGGTCAATTTGTATGGATTGACTTTTTTCGACATTGTTCCTTGCATATTCGGATTCTTCATAAAATTCTAAGAAAAAAATTCTTCTAGACCATAGCTCTAAAGTCAATTTCGAGCCTGCGCATTTTTAAAAGAAGATATCTTATATACAAAAATGAATTTCTGTCCGTTAGCCTTGCTAAGACTCGAAAACGGCTTGACCGATTTGAATATTTTTATTTTTTTGGTTTGTTTTTTTATAATATCCGGATGGTTAAGATGAGAAAAAATAGAGAGTTGCCACTTGTTTAAAAATTTCAGTATAAGTAAATTAATGACATAAATTAGATATTGCAATATGGGTGTCAAAAGAAAGAGGTTATGAAGGCTTACAGGTGAAAATATTTTTGAGGGGGGTTGCCAGCTGTTTCAAAATTTAATTAAATTAAATTGGTAAGATAAATTAAATATTGCAATATGGGTATCAAATTAAAAAGGTTTAAGAAGGCTTACTACTGAAAATATTTTCGAGTCGAGTTGCCACCAATTTGGAAAATTTAGTTCAATAAAGTTAATAAGATAAAGTATGTATCATAATATAGGTGTCAAACGAGAAGTATTTGAAAAATTATTGATTAAGAAATATTTTCTATACGCCTGTCACCTACCTGAGCGGTAAAAACTAAAAGCCATACTCGCAATTATTATTCAAAGCTTTTAAGGCTCGCATCAATGTAGAATACTGTAACCCCGTCAAGATGGCAAACAAAGTACTATCATGTTTGGCAATGATATCACCCCATCGAACAATGCACTTAGCCTCGATATAAAAAGAGAAGAAAAGCCGAAGTATTAGCCGAAGCAGTTCATACAAATGTTCCACAATTGAACTAACAAAAAAATATGGCCTGCGACTCTTTTATAGAAGCTGTGGACTGTGGAATTTAAGTGTACCGTTATTTTCTTTATGGCCCAATTATCGGATCTACATTCAGTTAGTAGGAGACTGCCTCTGAGGAACCACCTTTCCTTTGAAAAAGAATTGTAGAAAACGGATAACGTAGTCCAAAGTTATCCGATAACATACATAAAAAAATATTCCGACGAATTAATAAAATATGCAGATTAATATTTAATAAAGTGTTACGGCTTTATTTTTTTTTAATACAAACCTGTGCTTGGGAGTTTATTGATACGAAAAATTAATTTCTGATACCTATTTTTTATTTAAAGAACCGCAAGTTTGCACTACAAAGCACATTACACATTTTTTACTATTGTAACGGGAGAAGTTACTGTATGTATTTTTTTATATGTACAGTGTCGAACAAAAGTTTTGGCTCAGCAAATTTTCGCATTACATATATGCAAAGTTTTTAATTTACTTCCGATAATTTTTTATAAAAACATAGTTCATACTATACCAAAACACATAAAAATCAAATGTGTAAACTTTGTGCAAAACTCAGGAAAATGCAATAATTCTGTATACTAATGTGCAATTTTATATTCAGATTTTCAAGCAGCTTCAAACTTGCACTTTGATAAACTAAAACTGAATGGATTACTAAACTGCATACTTGGAAATCTTCTAAAAAATACTTTGCCTATATTGCGTAAAATTCACTGTGCCAATACTTTTGTTCGTTACTGTAAGTAAATGAAACTTTAACTTTAAAAAACCAAAAAAAAAAACAATTTTACAATATTTCAAAATTATTTTTCGAATCATAAATTTTGTTATGATTAACAATGTATTTATATTTTTTTTTTGGTTTTAGATCCTTTTTGCTTTCAACACGAGGTATCTTTTTTCTACTTTCTACTGTCATAGCCATAACTCCCTCTCTATTTTTATCAATCAATCAATCAATTTTATAATTTGTTTTTCGGCATTTTTCCTAAATACAAGTAGAGTTTTATAAAACTTGTAAAACACCAAATGTTTACCAAGCATAGGATTCTGTGTTATCCGGGCAGGCTTATTAATTTAACCAGAGAATATGTTTTCTTTATTAAGTTTACCCAGTTCCCCATTTTAAACTGCTGCCTGTACTGTATCAGCGGTTAAAACTTGTTAAATTTTTATTTAAAATTTTCGGTAAGGAATAAGCGAGTGGATGAAAAATATATAACGGTAAGAACGGCCCATATATACATATGTATATGAAAGAATATACACATGCGACGTCTCTAGCCATTGTGTGTCCCTCCTTTAAATTATAGTTATTTTTTTCTTATTGTATTAAAAAAATAACGTTCGTAACACTTTAGTAAATATTAATCCATATATTAACTTAGTATATATTAAAGACTAGAAGATGACTCGGTGAACTTCATATCATCTATAATTTATCTGAATTTCACTTTGATCAATTAGAACAAATCTTCAAAGTGCAATACATTGAGATCACTAATACTGCCTGCTGTTACAGCTGATAAAAGATTCCATACCTATGAGATGTGCCACGCCCCTTTTTACAAACTCATTTATATACATATGTATATTTTTCCATAAGCACCTGTAACAACCGCCCGCTTATCATCAGTTTTCCCCCCGGCGAATGAAACTTCTAATCGTTTTAGTTTTGCATGTATTTATTTACGAAAACCTTTTATACATTTTACACAAAGTCACTCTCGCTTTGCAGCCGTCGCTCCGTTCTCGTTGTTGTCAACACCCACATCCGCGTTGCCAGATCTCCACATCCCTCCTATGTTTTTCAGCTTGAGTGTCAAGGGTGGATTAGTATTCTGCCTTGCTGAATCCTCAATAACTTCGTTATCGTCAGGTTCGGGTAGTTTCTTCAAATGGCTCACGTTTCGTCTAAACTCTTTACCGTTTCCACGCACTACAACGTCATTTCCTCTCTTCTTAACCACTTCAAATTCTTCTGAATTAAAGGTTGTCGCCAGCTTGTTTGGAAGAACCGCATTACGCACTAGCACCTTGTCCCCAACTGCAATGCCGCTTTCTTTGGCTCCACGGTCCTCGTCCCCCTTTTTCTTACCTTTTTCTTTATTGCGAATATCTAAATCTCTAGCTTCAGAATCTAGGAGAGGTTTTTCAATGTCTTGCATGGATGGAATCTTATCTCGTATGCGCCTATTAAACAATAGCTCTGATGGTGATTTCCCTGTTGTTCCATGCGGGGTTACGTTGTACATTAGAATAAATTTCTGGATTTCCTTTTTATAATCTGCTCCCTGTGCATTGGCGATTTGCAGACGCTTAAGTAACGACCGATTCAAGTTCTCTACTTCCCCGTTCGCTTGTGCCCAGTACGGTGGAGATGTTAATAATTCAATAGCGTTTTCTGAACAATAGTTTTTGAACTCCTCACTTACGAATTGTCGACCATTATCCGCAGTTATAGATTTTGGATATCCTAGTCTTGAAAATAATTCGTCAAGAATATTAATTATGGCAGTCGAAGTAATTCTTTTCAGAAATCGTAGTTCATGATACCTCGAATAATAATCTATGATTACAAAAATGTGCTCATGATTTGGTAAGGGACCTAGCAAATCCATAGCGAGTGCAATCCATGGACCATCTGGTAAGGCACGCCTGTTCATGGGAGCCGGATTATTAGGCCTCGATACTAGCAAGCAACTGCGGCAGTTCTTCACGAACTGTTCCACATCTCTGTCTACCAATGGCCACCAAACCTTAGACCGAACTCTTCGTTTCATCACTGTTTCACCTGGATGACCTTCATGCGCCAGTTCTAGAACGCGCAATCTTAATGGCATGGGTATAACAATCTTAGTTCCACGCAAAATAATATTTTCCACTGTGCACAACTCTAAGCGGAAAGGAAAAAACTTGTTCGTGGAATTGGCACACCAAGTATCTCCTCTGATATTGTTTACTGCTTCAAATAGTTCAGGATCTGAAGTACTACATTTATAGATTTCTAAAATTGTAAGTGCACGGGGAACCGATTTCTCAATAATGGTGCAAATGCTTTGCTCTCCGTATTTGTCAAATGTGTTAGCAGGTTTACACACACATAATCTGGAAAATGTGTCCGCAATATTGAACTTTCCTGGTCTGTACATTATATAAAATTTGAATGATTGTAACCGAAGAACCCAACGTTCAATTCTTGCTGGCGGTTTCGATGTAGGCTTGAAAATTTCCTCCAGCGGCTTATGGTCTGTGACGAGTTCAAATTCTATTCCTGCCACGTAATAATAGAATCTTTCAACTGCCCAAACTGTTAAAATGTATAGCAGCTTTATATGCGTAGTTGGAGGATTTAAAGAACACGATAAAACGTCTTTATTGTATAGCGTATATTCCAGAATGAAAAAATTTATTCGTTTCCAACTTCTTAACATACAGCAATAGCAAATGTGTATACAATATTGAATACAAAGTAATATTTCACAAAGTACATTTCTAACACTCCTCCTCAATATGTACACATTTTCCATTAAGAACATTTTAATACAATCCCATATCTTTTCTAAATTTGCAATGTTTTATCTTTTGTAAGTTTTTAGTCAAAATATCTGATATCATTTCTTCAGTACAAACATAATTTAAAGCTATTT